GAGGACAATAGAAGCAATCAAAACCAACAAAAGAGCAATAATTTACAAGTGCTATATTAGTATATTATTATCGTGTTATATTTCAATTTCACAAAGAAACGTACAGTGTTTTGTCCAAGCAATAATAAAAGGACACATTTAATTTATAATTTGTCTTAAATCTCATTTTGTAAAAAAAAAAAAAAATTGTGAATCGAATCGAATCGTGAAATCAAAATTGTGAGTTGAGTGAATCGTTACATCCCTGTTGAGGAAATACATGAACTTCGCACTGTGGATCGCTGAATCGGCTTTCACCGTGGACAAAGCGGAGTCCAGCACGGGGTCGTCACACGTGGTTGCCGCAAGCCCGCCGGACGCTCCTTCGTCGAATCCGCCGGCCGCGCCATTCTCAAGGCCGCCGGCCTCCACTCACTCAAGTCCATCGTGTGTGACGCTGTGTGACACATTTTATGGAAGACTGTTTCCTGAACCTGCAGAGTAGCATACAAGTGGGGCAGCTCCAACTTTGCAAGGACAGTATGGGCTTCTGACTCTCAGCCTGCAAGTACATTTTTTATATTTAAAGAATTTGCCACTGATGATTCAAACGCGAGTAGCGCTTGTTGTTTGTCGTTTCTCCGATCACAAATGCAGACATGGTTTTATGTTTACGCGGCGCGATACGCAACGCAACACGTAAAAACACAGTACAAGTCATTATAATCAGTAATTATGTCCCCACTGGATGCAACAAATGCCTCGTTTGTAATGGGTTTCAATGTTTTTGTCTCGCCGTGCCGGGAGACGGCATCACAGTGTTTTAAGGGGCGTAACATTTCTGTCACACGCTTGAGGTATTCAGCCAATCACAACGCACTGGATAGCTGGCCAATTTTTTAACCTTAAACCGCATAAACACACTGCATTACACCAAATACACAACAATGTTCTTTTTAGCAGCATCATATGACCCCTTTAAATTTGCTTGTGAATTAGCAGTTTGAATTAGAATTGCTCAATGAATCACATGGAGATTTTACTCCAAATTGCAACTGTTATTTCTTAGTTGTCCAATACAAAATCAACCAGGAACTGTTACTATAATACATACTTAAACAGATTAAACAGTTAACTTAAAGGAAAAATAAAGATAAACATTCATGATTGTTTTTTTGTTATATTTTGTTATATTGGTTATTTGACCAATATTAATATATATATATATATTTAATAATATGAGGTCCAGTTGTAAGGTTGAATCAACAGTAAGGGAAACTTTCTTTGGGTGACAAAAACCCAAGTAATTTGCCTCCTAAAGTTGTTTTTTTTTAGCAGCCTAATTTTTTTTGGTTGTTGTTGTTGTCTGGAGCCCAGCTTCTGCAAAAGTATCTTATTCATATCCCATAATATCATCCCTTAGATGTATCCTTAGCAACTCCGCCACCCACACAGAAGTACTGTGGAGTGTTTAATTTTGCATGACCCATCCGTTTAGGCACCCCTCACAGGTTATGTAACGGGTACACTCACCTGGTTGCATTACCGCAGGGTATTAGTCAGAGCCGCGAGAACATTCGCTCCTCCAATCCCCATCCTGCTGATGGAGGCTCTGCTGTACCATGTAGCACTACCCGTTTCACCTCATCATGACTAAGCAGCTATTTAACTCCACCTGAAGCTTTTGAGCACACACCTCATCAAGCCCAGTACAGACACACGCAGTAATATGAAGCTTACACATGCGCACAGTGTAAACAGAGTGTGCCGGCCCTGAAACAAAAATGAAAATCTCTTAAAGGAACACTCCACTATTTTTTAAAATAGGCTAATTTTCCAACTCCCCTAGAGTTAAACAGTTGAGTTTTACCGTTTTCGAATCCATTCAGCCGATCTCCGGGTCTGGCGGTAGCACTTTTAGCTGTAGCTTAGCATAGACCATTGAATCTGATTAGACAGTTAGCATCTCGATCAAAAATGACAGAAGAGTTTCGATATTTTTCCTATTTAAAATTGACTCTTCTGTAGTTACATCGTGTACTAATACCGACGGAAAATGAAAAGTTGCGATTTTCTAGGCCAATATGGCTAGGAACTATACTCTCATTCCGGCGTAATAATCAAGGAACTTTGCTGCCGTACTATGGGTGCAGCAGGCGCAATGATATTACGCAGCGCCTGAAAATAGTCCCCAGCATGCTCCCTGTGCAAGCAGGTGGTCACGTTGGTTATGTTGACGGAAGTTAGCCTATTTTCAAGCACGAGTTTTCAGAGTCAAGTTTTAAATAGGAAAAATATAGAAACTCTCTGGTCATTTTTGAGCGAGATGCTAACGGTTTAATCAGATGCAATGATCTATGCTAAGCTACAGCTAAAAGTGCTACCGCCAGACCCGGAGATCGGCTGAATGTATTCGAAAACGGTAAAACTCAACTGTTTAACTCTAGGGGAGTTGGAAATGAGCCTATTTTCAAAAATAGTGGAGTGTTCCTTTAAGGGCACTTATGATGAAGTGTTTTGGTTAGCTTAGTCACGGTGAACTGCTACTTGCACACTAGCTGAAAGAGTCTTAACAGCCATCCAATGTGTGAAACACTGAGTGAAGCAATAAGGAAGCACCTAGTGATCTTTTCCAGTGAGCAAAGAGACGTGGCCGTACGTGACGCAATATAGAGAGCAAGGGGCACTCCTGATAATCCCTATTCAGATGAATTCACGTGGAAGTTCTCTAAAAGTTAACCAAATTACAAAGTACATGACTTTTACAGTCGTCCTCTTCCAGGAAAATAGATCAAAAATATTGATGACTCATCTTGCATTATACAAACTATTGCCTAATAATAAAAAAAACCTCTAAAACTGAGATTGTCCCCTCCCCCTAAATCATAAACCCCTCCTACATTTGACTAGAAATAGTGGCAAATAGCCTTATATTAGATTTCCTTTTCCAAACAAATAATGGTCGCAAATTTTTTTTTTTATTTTTTTTTTTTTTAAGTATTTTCAAAAAATATAACTTTAAAAATTAAGATTTTTTAAGTAAGACTTTTTTAAAGAAATTAATACTTTTATTCAGCAAGGATGCTTTAAATTGATCAAAAGTGTCGACATTTACCAAGTTACAAATTATTTCAAATAAATCAAATTAATGCTGTTCTTTTAAACCTTCTATTCAAAGAATCCTGAAATGTATCATGGTTTAACATTATTAATGATAAGAACTGCTTCTTAAGTAGCAAATCAGCATATTAGAATGATTTCATGTGACACTGAAGACTGCTGAAAATTCAGCTTTACCATCACATGAATAAAATGCATTTTAAAATATAAAACAGATTTTAAGTTATTACATTTAAAAATATTAGTTTTACTGTATTTTGTATCACATTAATACAGACTTAATTAATACAGAGAGAATAAGAGACTTATTTCTAAGTCTAATATGTACCTCCTCAACTTCCTGTTTTAATAGGAAATATGTTGGTAACACAGAAAATCGTGAAACTCAAATACCACATAAGTCACACAGGAAAAAAAGAAAAGGAAACACACAAAAACGCAACATTAGCTCTCATTTCTCAAGCAATACAAAGTGACACCATCCATTAATTTCAGATAGATGAATTTGTGGCAATTAGTTGAAAATGAACTTGACAAAGCAATTCGTTAATTCAGTGTGATTTCTTTAAGTACTAGCAGAGCTCTAATTGGTACTCTCTAGGAAGTCTTTACGGCAAAACTCATGAAACACAACCTCTCCAGAGGCAACCGTGTGATCACACACAAAGGTTCAGAGAGAGTGTCACTGTAAGCCTAAACCACTGGGAAACCAACCTGTTCACACAGCAGCCGTACCACATGGATGATAGCACTGGCTGCTTTACACCTGTTGCTGATTAGTTCCCGCTGCTGCCAAGACTTCACCGTTCACCTAAGCTGAATTTAACATTGAAAATAGTCACTTAGTTGAAATTCTTACCGGCAACTTCCACAATGTCCCCGGGTACGATGTCCCTGGCTTTGATCCTCTGTACAGTCTTCCTGTCCTGGCGATAGACCTTGCCCATCTCGGGCTCATACTCCTTGAGGGCCTCAATGGCATTTTCTGCATTTCTCTCCTGCAAGCATAACATGAATGGAAATTAGACATTTTCATATTTCTGGGACATACTAGTAGGCATAAGAAAGCGTAAGAACTTGTTTATAACCGGGGTTTTCAAATTAGGGTAAAGGGGCTGCAAGGGGGTCCACAGAAACATCCAGAGAAAAAAAATATATAATAAACAATAAAAATTTAATATATTATTTTTCTTCAGCAAAGACACATTAAAATGAGCAAAAGTGACGGAAATCTTTTGTAACTTACAGTATGTCTATTTCAAATAAATGCTGTTCTCTTGAATCAAAGGATCCTGAAAAAATGTATCACGGTTTCCACAAAAAAATAAGCAGCTCAACTATTTACAACATAGATAATAAGAAACGTTTCTTGAGCATCAAATCAGAATATTTGAATGATTTCTGAAGGATCATGTCACAGATTAAGTTAATAAAAGAAAAAGAAAATATTTTAATTAAAATATATTTTATTTATTAATTAAAATTTTCTCACACAGATAGGGTTCCTCACACTTTCACATTATAAAGTTTGAAAAACCATGGTCAATAACAATTCTTAAAAAAAAAAAAAAAAGAATTTCTGGACATAAATAGGCTATACAAAATCTGCACACTTTCTTCCACAATTTCTATGCTCATTAAGACAAATCTTGAAAGGAATCAAATATGCCAAATGTGTGATAAATGGAGATGAGAACGAAGACTCTAATTTTATTAATAATAGCCTAAACAAAATTAGCCAAACTGTTTCATATAGTAGAATATCTTCAAAATACAAATCTGCAAAGCTCAATTCAGTGGCATCCTAGAAATGGTAAAACAAACCAGCGCTATATCGGCTCACCTCACTATAAGAAATTGAGTCTTGGATGACTGAGGCGCTGACCTCTAGTGCTTATTCTTAAAATGTTGCATTTAATATGGGTGTCGAAATTAATCGTTTTCACGATGCATCGCGATGCAGACGAGGACGATTCGGTATAGGTTCAGTAATAGACCATAACCGATTATAACGTACTGACACTTTTCTGACGTCATTTGTCGCGGTAGCATACATTAGGTGCGTTCGGCTTGAAGCGCAGTAATAGACCATAACGATTATAACATACTGACGCTTTTCTGACGTCATTTGTCGCGGTAGCATACATTAGGTGCGTTCGGCTTGAAGCGCCGCTGCGCAGAATGATCACTGGATGACATCAAGTAGAATTTGTAATTACTCGCACTCGTGTCTCGCCTCCTTTCGCCAATAGGCGCGTTCGATTTGAAGCGGCGCTGCGCAGGATGAGTGTATGACATCAACTGCGAGAGCGATTCGGAAGCATAAGGATCCATCTGCTCTCGTGGTTGATGTCATACACTCATCCTGCGCAGCGCCGCTTCAAATCGAACGCGCCTAATGGCGGAGGGAGGCGAGACGCGAGAGCCAAAAACAGGACAAGTTTGTCTAAATATAATAACTAAAATGTACATTTGAGTAAGTCTAAAACTAAATTAAAATGGCTGCCAAAATTAATACTGCTGTACGGTTAATTAATAATAATCTTATTGCTAAAATGCCCAGAGCCCAAGTTCCATTTTGCTTCTGACCAGGTGCACAAGCCGGCAACATCGCCTATCCCCGAGGGAGTGGAATTTGCAGGTATGGAAAGGAGCCCCGCCCACACTCCCACTGCTGAGGGTGAGCTGAAGCTGGCCTCTGCAGTATTTACTGTTTTTTTTTTTAAGAGGAAGTGCCCTGTCCCCACTGGTACCGTCCATCATGAAATCACCTGTTCTCCTGCTGACCTTTCCAACATGAAATCTCCTGTTTCTCCACTGGTTCCATCCAGAACAAAATCTCCTATTTCTCCACAGATCCCTCCCAGCCTCTCTCTCCCAAGAGAGATCTAAAAACCATTGTCCTCTCATAGTCACTCTGGCTCCACCGCTATCTTACGAGTTCCCACTTCCTCCTTGGTCCCATAGGCTGTCTGTTTCACTGTGGACCTCCAGGCCTTTAATATTCACATGAAATGACAAAATGAAAAATATAATAGCCATACATCAAAAGTGATAATCTATGGTCAAGAGAAAATAGTGCCATCTATTGTCAAGAGAAAAAGATGGGAGATCATCTTAACCCACTAAAAAAGGTGGTCTAATGACTGTTGCATTAACCACTTAAACGTTGTGTGTAAAATCAAGGGGACTTGATCAATGTGTTGGTCTTCAGGTCAGTCATTACACAACTTCATGTAATTTAAAAAAAAATTTTATTTGGCAAAGATGCATCAGTGTCATTTAAAATGGTGATCATGGCTTAATATGTAATACTAAACAAAATCAGATGAAAATTGTATGGAATGTGCTTTTGCATTCTCTTGTCTATACTAGGGGTGTCGAAATTAATCGTTTCTTCAATGCATCGCGATGCAGACGAGGACGATTTGGTATCGGTTCAGTAATAGACCATAACCGATTATAACGTACTGACGCTTTTCTGACGTCATTTGTCGCATACGTGCTTTGTCGCGGTAGCACACATTAGGCGCATTCGGCTTGAAGCGCTGCTGCGCAGAATGATCAGTGTGTGACATCAAGTACCGCGAGAGCGATAAGAGAGCAGATGGATCCTCACTTTCGAATCACTCTCGCGGTTGATGTCATACACTGATCATTCTGCGCAGCGCCGCTTCAAACCAAATGCGCCTAATGGTGGTGGGAGTAATTAAAAATGCTCCGACTACTTTAAAAGCCGACATCTGGGCACATTTTGGCTTTTATGAACAGCCTGGTAAGCACGACCTGGAGAAGACACACGCTATGTGTAAATCATGTCACGCACAATAAAATATGCAGGGGGTAATACCACTAACTTGAGAAACCATGTCAGGTACAGTTCATATATCTGACTGCTTGTATTTATTGACAAAATTGTATACATGTGAAGTAAAATTGAAAATTGAGGATATTTGCATCATGATATCGAATTGAACCGAATCGATGACATGATAATCGTAATCAACCTAGAGGTCCTTACCTCACACCGGGCCCCGCGTCAGCTAAGGACGGCCCTGATCGTAATCGAACCGTGAGACCAGTGTAGGTTCACACCCCTAGCATTTAAGGCAACCTTATGCTTTCAGCACGATTAATCCCTAGGGACACAATTACTAATAGTGGTAGCCTGCTTGGCAGAGAATTTGGCAGTGGACTTCCTGTGGTTTCTCTTGCATGATGGGAACACAAAGTCTTATGTCAAAAACAAAACTAGCGTACCCTTAGGCATAAGGGCGAAAAACCAGTTTCAAGGTCCAGACCCAAACAAATAAGGGGGGGAAGGGTTGTGGTCACCAAGACATTTAAGGCAATAAGCTATAAATACACGCCACAAAAGGCAGATCAGTATCACTTCTCAATAGAAGACCAATAAGCAACTTTTTTACAAAAAATACTGAAATTACTGACAGTTTCTAGTCAGGCACCCTGCAGTAAGGTATATCACACTAAAATCATTCTAACCACAGTGATGAGCATCAGTGATAATATCAAATAGCTAAAAAGTATACAGAAATGACTCCTGTGCATCATGTTAATGATGAGAAATAAAGAAGAGAGGGTTGAAAGGCAGATAGAGTCACACGATTTGGCCCATGAGGCCTCGCGATTCTCATTTCACAGTTAAAATGAGCAGAACTGAAAGGAGGAAGGCCAATCTAACTCTATAAGAACACTTTTGATTCAGACATCAATGAAGAAGCAGAGCGCACTGCCTCAAAAACACACTCCTTTCAAGCATGGAGTCTTTCCAACAAAATATGCTCTGCCAAAATTTAGATTTAGATTAAAGCGATTGCCAAAAGACATTAAAATCAGTTAAATAATTCATGAAATGCATTTCATTCATATAATAAGTACTCTAAGTCCATGTGGCAAGGAAATAAATTACTAAAGAATAATATTTTGTTTACAGTGCCAAAAATTATTGACAAAAATAAACAGACACAATGTACTGTATCGTTCAAAAAGTGAGGGGTTAGTAGGATTTTTTCCCCCACAATTCTTAGAAAACAACAGCATTTATTTAAAGGGTTAGTTCACCCAAAAATAAAAATTCTATAATTTATTACTAATTACCCTCATGTCGTTCCAAACCCGTAAGACCTTTGTTCATCTTCGGAACACAAATGAAGATATTTTTTTATAAAATCCGAGAGCTCTCTGATCCTCCCATAGACCGCAAGGTTACTACCACGATCAAGGTCCAGAAACGTAGCAAGGACATCGTTAAAATAGTCCATGTGACCTCAGTGGTTCAACCGTAATTTTACGAAACTACGAGAATACTTTTTGTGTGCAAAGAAAACAAAAATAACAACTTTATTCAACAATTCTTCTCCTCATCCCGCCTGTAGCGATGTGCCGCCATTGTAGAGAGAGTATCATGACGCATGCGCTCGCTTCCGGTTCATGTAAACAACGCATGTACGTGTTAACGTAAGCAGCAGCACCATGTGCATGTGTTGTTTACATGAAGCAGAAGTAAGCGCATGCGTCATGATACTCTCCACAACGGCGTAAAATTACGGTTGAACCCCTGATGTCATATGGACTATTTTAATTATGTCCATACTACGCTTCTGGACCTTGATCGTGGTAGTAACCTTGCGGTCTATGGGAGGGTCAGAGAGCTCCCGGATTTTATAAAAAATATCTTCATTTGTGTTCCAAAGATGAACAAAGGTCTTACGGGTTTGGAAAGACATGAGGGTGAGTAATAAATTACAGAATTGTCATTTTTGGGTGAACTATCCCATTAAAATATAAACCTTTTAACATTTTCCTGTCACTACTGAACCATTTAATGCATCCTTGTTGAGTAAAAGTATTAATTTAATTAAAAAAAAACTTGCTGACCCCAAACTTTTGAATGGTATTGCTGCGAATCAGACTCAGTTCTTTGCTGCAGATGTTTAATGGGCCTGTACATCTACCAGAGCAGGTGCATGGACTGGTGCTTTCTGAAAAGAAGTTTGCCCTGGGCTAGCAACTGCTGCTCTCCTCTCGGATTGAAAAAGTGGCCATAGAGAGCAGAGGATAATAAAGGGGAACACTTGTAGGCCACCTGTAAGGCAAAACTGGATGAAGAACAACTCAGGAAACAGCTAAAATGATGAGCCTAGTTTTAATTTGCTTGTGAACATTTCTTAGTAAATGCTAGAGCAGGAAACATTGGACAAATTGTCCCTTTTGTTTAAAACCTACCATTGAACAGAAAACAGTAATATTGCAAAATATTATATGAATTTAAAATAACTGTTTTGCAGTTATTTTAAAACGTAATTTATTCCTGTGATGGCAAAGCTAATTGTTTTAGCAGCCATTACTCCAGTCTTCATTGTCACATGACCCTTCAGAATGGCGTCCAAGAAACATAAATCAGTGTTGAAACATTTATTATTATTAATGTTGAAAACAGTTTTGCTGCTTAATATTTTTGTGAAAACTCAGAAAGTTCAAAACAACACTTATTTGAAAAAATATTTTGTAAACACATTATAAATGTGTTTACTGTCACTTTTGATCAATTTAATGCACCCTTGCTGAATAAAAGTATTAATTTCTTTAAAAAATAAACTTTCTAAAAAAATATTACTAACCCCAAACTTTTCAGCAGTAGTGTATTGAGAAAAAAAAATTGGTACATTTTCATAAAAAAAATAACTAAGTGCACTAAATTAATGATTAAACTACATGTATCTGTTAAAAGATAAGAATACACTATCGTATATAGACGACCTCAAAGCTACCAGACATGGACTATAAGGCTCTAAAGCCTCTTTTTTGGACTCTTTAAAGAGTTCCTTCCATTTATATACACTAATATTATCTGTAAAACTCCAGCCCAAGGCATTTAACACTGTGTTGCTGCTGTGCCCTTTGAGAAGACCATTTGAAAAAGTAGAAAACTACTAGGAGGGGACAAGGCTAAGGATACTCGGGGCAGTCTGGGTAATGAATGGTGACTAAAATAAAATGATAGCGAGAAATCTGGGACATGAGTTTCAGTGCCACTGAGAGGTGCTGGAGAAAATAGGGTCTTGGCTCTATGCTGGATTCCACTGGGACAGCAGGGCTATCTTTAGAAAAGGGCAGGGAAAAAACGGCCACATGTTTTCATTTTCATAACAAGGCTAACTACACTGTACAAGAAAATCTACATTCACAATATAATAGTGTCTAAAACAAACCTGAAAGCCCAGACACGTGAGCTCTATCCGTGGAAAATCTGTGGTCTGGAGGACAGTAAAGCTTTAAATCCCATTATATAGACTATAACAACAAATGCTATCCAATTATCCTTGTACCAAAGTTGCATTTATTTAATCAAAAATACAGTAAAAACAGTAATATTCAGTTTTCCATTTTAATATATTTATTAGGGGTGTAACGGTACACAAATATGACGGTTCGGTACGTACCTCGGTTTTAACGTCACGGTTCGGTATGATT